CAGAACCGTCGTTTGAACCATAAATGGGCTTTGCGGCGTCATCATCGTGAAAGTAGAGTTCAAGAGCTATAATAGGATATAAGGTTTGCTGCAGTGGATTCAAAATAATAAAGAAATGGGTACCAGAACCAACTGCCCCGTGCCCCGCATTTGGGATAACGAAGTAACGCGCAGCGCACGGAGACTCAGACGAGCAGAGGAGAAAGACAAGAGCCGATGGGACATTTGATTCCGGTAGTACAGTCTGCCCCAATCCTAACCAGGCCAAAATTGGCTTGGCGGGAGTGCGCGTTGCGAGGGTTTCGCGCCACTTCTGCGTCTGGCTAGTCTGCTCTCTCCTCAGTCTCTTCGCTCTCTGCGACAGCGCGCGTATGTAGCGCAAACCCCTAGCACTGCGAGCGCGCAAATTCAGCCGACGGTTCGGCCTGATCCCGATTGGGGCAGACTGTAGATCTCCGCGAGTTCTTACTAAAATTCTGCAAAACATTGTATACCAAATTGATCGCCGTGACACGACTGGAAGCACTGACAATGTCGCCGGCGTTAAAAGTCACTCCTTAACAAGATAACATTCATAGCATTTTCGTGCCAACTTTCTGTGGGAGACTTGAGAAGCGCAGTTTCTAGTTCTCAATGAACTCCAGCAGCTGTGAACTTTTGAACTCATCAGTAGGGTATAGAGTGCTTTTAAGGGAATTGCAGAGCATGTAATCAAAGCGATTATCAAAGGTGCTGGCCAACAAGATGACCTTCGTAAGCATCATACGGCAGACTTACTTTAGCTTTACGGCAAGAGGTCGAAATAGCTGAGTTTTTTGTAGAATCGTCGTCTAAATCATGCATCTTAAGACTTTCAAGGAATTGCGCTATCGTCTAAAGAGTAAAATGGTTTTTTTGTTTGATCCTTGTTTACGCTCTCTTTGGCAATTTTGCCGTACATTATTCCAGTAGGCCAGGCTAAATTTTGTTTTTTATTTATACATCAGAATTTTATTAAGACCGTTTTTCAAAATTTTGCTTCAAGTCATACGATTCAGTACAGAGTATACTTGGGTCCGAATCGAATAGAAATTCGATCATTCGAATAAAACATTCGAATATATTCGTATTCGAAATTCGATAATCGGAGTTCTTCCATTTTCGAGTGATATTCGGAACTCGAATAATCAAAAAACAGGGTTTCGAATAAAATTCGAACTCGAATAATCAAAAAACGAGGTTTCGAATATTATTCGAAAACTCGAATAAGATTTCGAATATTATTCGAATAATCAAAAAACTGGGTTTCGAATAAATTATTCGAATGTTTTATTCGAATGTTTATTCGAATTCGTATTCGAATGACTCCGTATTCAGATTACTCGACTTTGTTGCAAAGCCAACTGCTGAGATTCAAGCTCACTTCGTCCGCGTTTTTTTTCGCAAAACTCGGTAATGCATCTTTTGCAACCGTTATGACTATTTGACCTGTATGGAGAGTCGCATTCTTCCGACTGCTTGCGACAGTAAAAAAATCATATGTGGACTTTAATTGATGTAGAAGAGCAAGCCCTTTGCTTTTACATTGCTGATGCTGATAAGAAATAAAGTTAATTCTGGTGTACATCAGTCTCTTTCAGACCACCTGATGAAGAATCTTTTGGGCACAGCATAAAAATTTATATCGACTGCTTTTTAGACCGTCCATAATGGGTAAAATATGAACTTTTTGCTGATGTGTAGACTAGATGCCGACCGACCAACTTTATCGATTTTTGGGGAAGTTTGAGCTGCGGGGCTGAGAGTTGTACAAGGGGGTAAGCGAGGGTGTTGATTATGGATAAAAATTTACTTTATAAATTTTATCGATTTTTGGAAAATCTCGAGCTACGAGCTTGGGAGTTGGTGCAGGGGGGGGGGGATGAGGATGCTGATTAAAACCGAAATCTATTTTATCGATTTCAGCAATTTTTGGAAAATTTTGAGCTAGGAGTTGGTATAGGGGATACTAGGGGGCTGATTATGATTGGATCAGCTCTAGCCAGATATGTCGCAAGTTTGAGATGTAATTGCTTTGATTATTCGATAAATCATTCGAATATCTATTCGAAATTCGACTTCCAATGTTCGAATATGTTCGATATTCATTCATTCGATATTTTTGATTTTCCGAATTTAATCGAAATTCATTCATTCGATATTTTTGATTTTCCGAATTTATTCGAAATTCATTCATTCGATATTTTTGATTCCCCGAATTTATTCGAAATTCATTCATTCGATATTTTTGATTCCCCGAATTTATTCGAAATTCATTCATTCGATATTTTTGATTTCCCGAATTTATTCGATATTCACTCATTCGATGAAAAATCCTTGAATTACCCAAGTATGATACAGAGTCGTCATTGAATTATACGACTTTAAATCTTACCGACATGCAATCACAGGAACACAGGAAAGAATACAAAGACGAGAACAGCAGGAACTTATTTGCAGATTGTTTACATCTAATGCAGACAGAAACACATGCGTTTAACATGACACTGCCATAATCAGTTAAGCGTGAGCAGAAAGATTATGGGAGAGGTTTGGCCTATAGTAGTAACGAAGAAAGGCAAGGGGAGCCTGAATGACCTAAGCAAGTCTTCAAAGGAATGTGGACACTGCGGCATCTTTTGGCAATTGAGTCTTTTCGATCGCATAAGGCTAGGAGAGGGCTTTGCGAGTGGTGGACAAGCATAACGATCGTGATAGGTTGGACAGAAGTGACCTGCATTATGCGCATCCTACCGACCAATCGGACTGATGCTCCACATAATGAAGATCGAAAATATCCCACTATAATAACGCGCTAAGTGTGTTTACGTTTTTTGGGTATCTGTCTGTGTAAATGTCTGTCTGTCACGAAAATCATAGCGCGAGTTCCAGCCAACCTCCTGGGCTCAAATTTTGCACAGCGCATGCTATCCGCATGAAAGTCCAACATGCAAAAGCACGAGCAGATTCGCTGAGTGGATGCCTCAGAAACTGCGCGTCAAACAAATCCACTTTGCATTTGGGCAGCAAAATGGGGTTCGTAATTCCACTTTTTGTAGAATTGTGGATGTTTATGTTAAGTAAATGCGCAAGCCACTTAGGCCCAAAAAAGTGATCAAAAGTCCACTACTTTACAAAAACAGCGCCAAAAACTATTGGCTGCGTAAGTGGTCAAGTTGCCAAGGTTTTACCAGAGCATATGACGAGATTTCTGCACAAAGATGTAGCTCACAGTGACTGCTGTTATTATTGTAAATGTAAGATCATGGAAAAATCAAAAACCTATAAAAATTTGAGTTTGTTTTCCTGTAAAAAGTCTCATCCACGCGAAGGCAAAGATTCCAGCTGTTGATAGGCAGCAAAGCAAAACATTGTACTTACAGCATGTAAGCCTTAAATATCAAAGTAAGAACATCCAAAAAAGGGACCACATCGAGCAATGGGACAAATCAAAGTCAAAGAAAGAAGCAGAAACCTTGTAGGATGGTGCTTTCGCCAAAGGAAGTTTCTCAGAGATAAAGCAAAAAGGTAAAGCATTTGGTTATTACTGATATTTTTCTTGAGCAGGATAGCACTGTATTACATAATCGAAGAGGCCACTGGTGACTAATGAATCTTTACGTGAGTTGCAGTAGTCAGCAATTACATGCTTGATTCAAGAAATATCCCCGGAAAAAATAAGGCACTGAATGGTGCGATTGAGACTTAACCTCGTCGGTTCTCCATGAATGCACCACTCGCTCGTCCTCTCGATTTGTACTACTACAGCACAGTAGAAATAGAGTTGTTAAAATTATGTCATGTCAAATAAGAACCGTCTTTCAATGAATTTGCTGACCTATCTGAAAACTGTTTCATTTTTCTGACAAAGTAATTTCTTCTCTCAAGGTAGCAGCTGTCAAATTTATGAAAAAGCATTCAAAATTGAAAACCTTCCGCAGTTCATTCTTAATGCTCGACATCTTTCACCGTCATTATTATTCTGGCAAGCGGAAGGCGGGACTCATTAGTTTGCAACGATGTTAAGAGTTAGTACGCTGCGCGAGCTTGCTTCGCTTTCAAAGCGGAAACTTCTTTTGCATTAGCAGCGATAGTCAACATAAAATGGGTCGTGAAGTTACTTGAGTTTTTATTTGAGCTGCGAAGTTGCATGTCACGAGGAAAATCTTATTAGCCAACTCAATATTTATCCTTCTTGCTCAAATGCTTTAAATCTATTCACGAAACGTGTTTAACGAGCTGCAGTTACCAAAAAATTGCAACTGAATTTTGAAGCCGACATACCACAAACAACTTCTTCGGAGAACGTTTTCAGTGCACTTACTGAAATAACAGAAACTTGCTTGCCCTAGAGTTTTTTTTTTCAACTTCGCGAAAAACGTTTTGTTCAAGTTGTAGCATGCGTATAAACCATCTACCCAACTGCGCAAGTCTGCACGATCCAAATCCACCATCGCAGTAAAATACCCGCCACTCCCGACGAAATCACTGGGTATGCGCCAATTTTGATAGATACCTCAATAATCCGAAATTGAGTACCTACGACGCCTCAAATGCTTAACATAATTCAATTTGAGAGGGCTAAGTCGAAATTCAGCAGCTCAAAAGTATTGTTTGCGCAAAATCAGCGGTGATAAGACAGTAATGTAATACAGACGGGTTTACAATCAGATTCCAACCGCCTTTATAGAACGCTTAAACGAAAAAATCCTATGATAGAATCTTTAGAGCGTCAAGCAGGAAAACTTGATTTTGATACGAACTATTACAGGAAAACTCGAAAAGTGAGTAAAGCTGAGGTGAAAATATGGAGTGGCCAAAGTTTTGAGTCTCGTTGCACATGCCTTATCTGGCCTAACGCGGTGTTTTTAATTTTTCTCTTCTTCTTTCCATTGAATTCCTGATGTGAACTTTAAAAACATTGCAAAAAGGACAAAGGACGTCAAGAAACTAAATTCATATAGCTTAAAAGAATACAAGAAGAAAAAAAAGAAGAAGCATAGAATTACCCTGACAAATGCATTTCTGAGATGTGTTCATGTGACATTAATCCATGTCCCGTACAACTCAAATTTGCCGACGACAGACTTTATTCATTGCGCGGAGGGATGTGAGCACAAGTTGGCCTCTGTGCCGAGCTCAATTTCGACGTTCCAGTATTCCCATACTTTTTTTGTTCCACGTATATACTTTGGTGGAATGTATATGCAGACCTCCTTCATTTTCGGATTGAGTCCATACTGAAAATCATTCGTGTGATCTTGTAAGCTTAGTAATTCAACGTTCTTTCGGAAATGTAAATGTTCATCATCAAAGAAAAAACAAACAGTACACTTTTACGGTTGCAAAAAGAGTAAATGCGGAGTTGTGGATTCATTGATTTCTCGAATATAGTGCCTGAAATTTTGAAAAATCCATTTTTGTCCGCTGCGGCGACATCCAGGCATTTTATGGAAAAAACTGAAATCATAATTTAAAATGGAACTCAGCTTTGCATTTCAACTCACATCCTTTTTGACACAAAAGCATAAATGCTCGAGCAAGGGGTTTACCGTTACAAAGAAGAAATCCCCTTGCTCCAGCTGACTGCCACCTCGGGATCATCCAGTTCAAACAGTAGCATGATGAGAGAACAAACGAGAAGATCAGTACTCGCATTCTGCAATCATGCCTTTTATTTGCCGTATGACAAGTAATGTACAATTTGAGAAAGACAATAATTACTTCACATAGATCTGGTAGGTAACTCTTACTAACCAAGCTTACTGATGATGATTGCGTGATAACTTTATTACTGCATGTTCCTCATGCTACCGCAGGAGATCAGAAATTGGAGAGAAGAAAAGATTGAAAAAAATTGTAGAAACACAAGATTCGATAAAGCAAGCCCTCAGGGTACCACTAAAGCAATCGCCTGATGATTTCTGCGTTAAATAAGCTAAAGAATATAATCTTGAATCCTTTGAAGAATGTTGCCACTCAAACTTCCCTATGCCTATACTGTCCGCACGAGTTTTTCTTAGAAAGACATCGTATTTTTCTCGTACCTAAAAATGAGAAATGGAATGCTGCAAACGAATCATTGTTGGCTTGTACATGAGCATTTCTATCTTCGCAAGTACAAACTGGGGATTTTCAGTTTTTGCGAGCACTCTTTGTCAGGAAACAAGAAATGTGACTAAAGACCAGAAATTAGCTCTAAAAACCGAGAATTAGCAATTTTCCTAACTTCACATTTTGCCTTTCGTATAACAGTTACGGCAAAATTACAACTGTCTTTGCTATACTTTGAGGGAATATACGGGAGCAACTTAGATGCTGGAACTTTCGAAAAGAAATTCGATCGTTGGGTCTTCGAAATTTATTAGACCTTGCATTCAAACTTCTTACGAGTCAGTCCTTGTGCGAACACTGCTTTGCTCTTAAACGAAAAATTTGATCCATGGAAGAGCATTAGTATTAATAAACTGTTTCAGCTCTGGGAAGGATGAGGTCTTTTCAAATGAAACAACACCGTCGAAACAACGAAAGTGGACTGGTAAGGAATGCGTCTCAGCGGCTATTTATTGTAAGGAATTTCGATCTGATCGCAGCATATTTTGATTTTTTGGTATAGGAAATTGTTAATGCATTGATGTATTTGTCCAATTGGCGTTCGGAAGCATTGCTAAACTGTGAAAAAGGGATCAAAGCTTAAAGACATCAATTTTAAAAGTTAACGAGCCAGCAATAAACCTGACAAAGCATCAGGCATTCCTTGAAACATTCAGCAGGTAGCATGGGGATAGACTAAGAAACATAAAAACGGCCGAAAGTAGTAGAACACTCGACTTCTCCCACTAAGGCATTTTTTCGCATTCTATCTCAGTATTTCTCTCAGAGTTGAGTTTATGCCCGAATGAATTTGATTTGAGGAAGTGCTAATGCACCGTTAGAGCAAGAAAATATGCAATATTCTGTAACATGTTGGATAGATATTTGCATATTCTGAGGTTTTTTTCATTTTCTGAATCTTCCCACTTTTCTGCTAAAAGATGCGAAAGAATCTGCAACAAACAGGCACTTTCGCACATAACATTCGACTGCAACGCGTGGTGGTCGAAAGTTTGAGCCTATAGCTGAGGCCGAATATTCGAACAAACTATTCGAAGATTTGGTTATTTGATTGATCCAGTCAAATATATGAAAGAGACAGCGAATTTAACATTCGTTTATTATGCCAGTTGAGAAAATTGCTTGTCCGATACGATTTTTTTATGTCACAAAAAAAGCACCTACTCAAATATCCGAATATGGTGGAACGGATTTCGTGCTCAACAAGTTTTTAAGATTTGACTGTTCCATTATTCGGATAGTTTGATATTCGCAATTTCATTTATTCAATTATTCGATTAGTTTAAATATTTCTTCATTCAATCCATGATAACTTATTCGAGTATGAATATCATGACTTACAATAAAGAGCGTATCTGTCCGTTTGTCTGTGTGTGTTTGTGTTTACAGTTGAGCAGCATTCTCGAACATTAATTTTGTCGATGACAATGAGATGAAGCACGAATGTAAAAATATAAATTAATTAAGATTTGGAAAAAACCCGCTCCTGCATTTGCAAAATTCCAAAGACTCAAGAACATTGAAGTAAGCAACTTCGTGAAAAGTCAAGCCAAGCTACTTTATTTTGCACTGACGCCGTTTTCAAATTGTTTTACTTGATTCAGTCCTGACCAGGGTCAAGCAAGGGGTGTGGCATACGATCGCTGGTTACGACCCCCCCCCCCCTGATTGCTGTCTTAACAAGACCCCTCCCCTGAACTATATGCCTAAGATAGCATTACCAGAGTTGAGAAAGAGGTCAGGCGCAAGTCTTTCGAACCTCCCCCCCCCCCCCATAAAAACCCTCAAACGACCCCTTCTTCCTCCTCTTAACCTCTGGACCTCAAAGTGTAACATTCTGGAGGACACCATCTTTTTCTAGAGAGTTTTCGGATTCCTGAGAGCTGTACGCCTGATTTTCTGTGACTGCACTTTACAATCACACGTAATTTGACGGCTGATTTTGATCTGAATGGGCATATTGAAAGGGCCATAATTTTCTTATGGGTGGGATTGGCTCCAGATTTCCAATGTAGCAAGAAAAAGCTATGTGCTCAATACTCATACCAGCAATGGAGCGCTTTCTGGTTTTGAAGGCAAGTTAATGGGGTGCGGCACACCCCCTTAAAAGCTGCGGCTGCCGCAGCTTTTAAGGGGGTGTGCCGCACCCCATTAACTGTACAAAAAAACATTTTTAGCGGACAATATTTATATGAATCGATAGCCTAAACCTTGTAGATTCCACAGGACTATTTGGAGCCTGACTTGTCTTCTTAGCTCTAAGTAATATTTGGTGAAAGCACAGCGATCAAAAGCGAAAAATGGGAAAAACGAGATTTTGGTTGGCTTCTAATTCCACAGTTTGCAAGTCTTCTGAAGCGAGATTCCTGAGGTGGACAAAGAGGGAGTAGTGCTTTGTCATGAGTGCAAAAACGGGTAGCTAATTCACCTTTGAAATAAAGTTAACCATGTTGGAATTTGACCATTTCATTTAGGTAGCCTAATATCTTGAATCTTCATTCGCTCAAACTTTGTCTACAAGGGTTAATTGAAATGCTAATTATAAATATGATACGAATATCATGTTATCACTATTATCAGATTACTCAACTACGCCCCCTCCCCTTTTGACTCCTCATTACGATCCCCAGGTGTGGCATGCCGCACCCCACGCTTGATCCTGGTCCTGACACTGCTATCCACCCTCGGAAAAAACATTTTCGGTGCTTGATAAATTTTCTCTATTTGAGTAACAGAGTCGCTGTCGCCGCATTGAGTGCCTTAGGCCATTGCGACACGTAGCTTGGCCCTGCATTGGGTTTGTGATGCATGCTGTGGGCATATTCCAATGTCTAGCAGCTACTGAAGAGTAAACGGTGAATGCTGACACAGAGGTGGGTAGCATATGGTAAGCATAGCAACTATATACTTCGTATGTATTGTTTTCAAGATAAATAGGATGGAACGTTTGATGACCATCCTTTTCTCATGCAGAGACGAACGCTTGTAAGAGACAAAACAGTTCTAAATGAGATTCGCATTTCCAAAAAATACAAAACTTCTCACAAAGAAGAATCCATTTGAGCGATTTGCCCATCGTTGGTGCAGAACTATCGACGACATCGCCCATTTTGAGAGTATAGCCGTCCAAAAAGGCCCACGATTCGTCGCAGCGTCAATCTAACACAGACGTGGCGGGACCACACAGTTGGGGGCGAGTGCGCTGCGGACTCGAAACATAGGTCCGAGACTGAATTCACGATGCGACTGGGATCGCAGGTATGCCTTAGGCCCTCTCCAGCAGACAATAAAGCCGCATTCGCGCCCAAAGGACTGCGCCTTGTCATCCAGCAGCCTGTATGTGAAAACTGTTGGCGTCTGTGCTGGGTTCCAGTGGTTTGTTTCTTACTTTGCTCTTCTTGACAAGGTTCCGGCAAATTTCTTTATTTAAGCGCCTGGCTCTCGGTTAATATTTTACAAACATTGCAAATACAGGGTTCTTGGCCTAAGTTTCTATCTCAAAGTGGCGTTCCAATTAGGTGAAACTAATGTATAGGCGCTGTTGGCAGCTTCAATGTTTTCGAGATAAATATAGTTCAAGATACACGTAAAACACAAATACAAAACTACAAAGTGCATGTCGGCTAGGAACGCGCCGCTGTGGCTGTTCACGTACTATGATGGCTAAATTCACTGGTCTTAAAATCAAATTATAGTTGCTTAAAGTAGGAGATCTTACAAAGAAAGGGTTATTAGTCGGAGCGGCCACGGATATGTAGAAATCGCCTTCTTAGGCGATTTCTACATATCCTGAAGAGAATGAAAGCTGATTCCAAATTTAAGCTATTCGCCGTCGTCTTCTAGACACCCGGTTTTGAGCGATTTTGAGGTTAGAAATGAACGCACATTTGAAATACATCATTGAAAATTGATCAGCTGAGTACTGTATATCAGGGAAAGCAACGGATACGTATTATTTTACAATGCCGGAACTTACCACAGCGGTAGTCAACGTAAAATGGATCGTGAAGTTAGTTGAGTTTTTATTTGAGCTTCGAAGTTGCATGTCAAGAGGAAAATCTTTATTAGCCAACTCAATTTTTATCCTTCTTGCTCAAAT